TAGTCGTTTAACTTATGTATTTCGACGAAAAAGTGTTTGGCTAACTGTGTGATTTTGTTGTCTGGATAACTGTGCGGTTTTGACGGAAAAATGACTGATTAACTGATTGACCTACAAGACAATTGTCATGGCCGCCTGAATGACTTAGACGGCAAAGTTGACTCTTTGACTTAGACGACGACATTGTCTGGTTTCCTAATGGACTCAGACGTTAAAGTGTCTACCTAACGGACTTAATAAGATGACTTGTCTGACCAACTGTCCGACTTAGACAGAAAGGTGTCTGGTTTTTGGTCAATTTAGACGGCAAAGTGCCTAGCTAACAGTTCAACTTAGACGAAAAAATAGTCGTTTAACTTATGTATTTCGACGAAAAAGTGTTTGGCTAACTGTGTGATTTTGTTGTCTGGATAACTGTGCGGTTTTGACGGAAAAATGACTGATTAACTGATTGACCTACAAGACAATTGTCATGGCCGCCTGAATGACTTAGACGGCAAAGTTGACTCTTTGACTTAGACGACGACATTGTCTGGTTTCCTAATGGACTCAGACGTTAAAGTGTCTACCTAACGGACTTAATAAGATGACTTGTCTGACCAACTGTCCGACTTAGACAGAAAGGTGTCTGGTTTTTGGTCAATTTAGACGGCAAAGTGCCTAGCTAACAGTTCAACTTAGACGAAAAAATAGTCGTTTAACTTATGTATTTCGACGAAAAAGTGTTTGGCTAACTGTGTGATTTTGTTGTCTGGATAACTGTGCGGTTTTGACGGAAAAATGACTGATTAACTGATTGACCTACAAGACAATTGTCATGGCCGCCTGAATGACTTAGACGGCAAAGTTGACTCTTTGACTTAGACGACGACATTGTCTGGTTTCCTAATGGACTCAGACGTTAAAGTGTCTACCTAACGGACTTAATAAGATGACTTGTCTGACCAACTGTCCGACTTAGACAGAAAGGTGTCTGGTTTTTGGTCAATTTAGACGGCAAAGTGCCTAGCTAACAGTTCAACTTAGACGAAAAAATAGTCGTTTAACTTATGTATTTCGACGAAAAAGTGTTTGGCTAACTGTGTGATTTTGTTGTCTGGATAACTGTGCGGTTTTGACGGAAAAATGACTGATTAACTGATTGACCTACAAGACAATTGTCATGGCCGCCTGAATGACTTAGACGGCAAAGTTGACTCTTTGACTTAGACGACGACATTGTCTGGTTTCCTAATGGACTCAGACGTTAAAGTGTCTACCTAACGGACTTAATAAGATGACTTGTCTGACCAACTGTCCGACTTAGACAGAAAGGTGTCTGGTTTTTGGTCAATTTAGACGGCAAAGTGCCTAGCTAACAGTTCAACTTAGACGAAAAAATAGTTGTTTAACTTATGTATTTCGACGAAAAAGTGTTTGGCTAACTGTGTGATTTTGTTGTCTGGCTAACTGTGCGGTTTTGACGGAAAAATGACTGATTAACTGATTGACTTACAATCCAGTATTAAGACAATTATGTATGTTGCTTATATCCAGAAAGCATTTGCGACAGAAAGAGCAGAGCTTCTTGCTAACAACAAAAAGAAATGGGAAACTGCGATGCAGCAAAGGAACGACAAAGAGAATGAGTACATGGATGCCAGACGTAAGAGAGTGGAGGATTATGAAAACCAACTCCAGACACTAAGAGTACAAGATGCTGAGGAGTACAACATGGTGAAGATAAAACTAGAAACTGACGTACAGGTRTGGAGATGCCCTGTCATTTAATTTGATCAGTTCGYATTCGTTTTTCATTATTTTTTAAGGCTGTGCTCTTTTTGATCTATCATCTTGCTTTTTACCTACTCAATTGCAATTCTCTTCTAATCCCCATTTTATTCTAAGAGTTATCCGGCAATATAATAGTWTCATCAATATTATAATATAATATTATAATATTATCAACGTCGTTCCTAGAGCCTTATCGATTTGCTTTACCCCAAGTGAAGGGATAAGAGCCTAGTAACGAGTTTGCACTATTATCTTCGACTGTCCTCTCCTTCATTTTAACGTAATTCAACTCAAATCAGTTTTTCTTGATATTCACTCAATTTCTTCCAAACATCCCCTCTCATCCCCTCCTTTGTTTCAACTCTTCCCTTTGTACGTACTTCCATTTTCTTTTCATCATCCTTTTGTACTTCCCTTTTCTTTTCACATTTCAGTTGCTTTGATTTCATCATACTCTTAAAATTTAATTTCCTTCGTCTACATTTTCTCCATTCTGTAACCAATGAGGTTTCTTAAATGTATTGGTATTATATCTGTTTAGATATTAGAGCAACAGCTCCAACAGATGAAGGCCACCTACCAACTCAACCAGGAGAAACTAGAGTATAACTTCCAGGTACTGTTTACATATGTCATTAGTTATTTGTAAGAATACAGCAGCAACAACAGAAACAAAATAGTTTTCTTAATGGGCGATTTTCAACCGGCATCCCTTGCGATCTTTCGCATATGAAATTAAAAATACATAATATACGCAAAAACTGGCTGTAAATTATCCCTWGTGATCTTTGAATGGAGATATTTTAAGTCGATTTTAAAACTGGCGAAGGGCAACGGATTGCGAGCCTGCAAAGAATTTCATACGGGATTCTCATACGTGACTAATATTTCAAAATATATTTGCCGCTATATTCACTACAAGACCGAGAATTTTTGATAACTGAAAGTGAATATATAATTATATATGGCAATCCCGAGATTCTTTGCTGGCTCAAGACTGTGAACTTTGTCCTGGTRACGACAACGTTTATGAAATAGGTGTATGTAACCTTATTTAATTCCATTAAATGAGCACGACCGCTACGAATGCTGTTTACCCATGATCCTTTAAAGATGTTCGTGTTGACGCATGGTGTTTGACTGCATTGCAGGTACTTAAAAAGCGAGATGAGGAAAACACCATTACTAAATCCCAACAGAAGAGAAAGATTACACGGTAATCACTATTAAAAGTTACTCCATTTTTATCAAATCTCAGTTATCATCGCAGGTGCTAACTTTAAAAAATAATAAATTTTGCGTATTGAAAATAGTCTTCTTCGCGGTTCCCTGCTTCATCTTGAAAGGTAGCCGTGCCTTTGCATCGAAGCGAGACGACCGTTGAGTGTGCAATGATAGAAACTTTCTTTCTCACTTACAGACAATTGTTCACAGGTATCTATCATTGCACGTTCAACGGTTGTCTCGCTTCGATGTAAACACATCTACCTTTCAGGATGGCGCACGTAACCGTGAAGGAGACTATTGCATTTCTTACGCGCTCATTTTTTTTCTAAATAATTATTTTTATTATCTATTTATTATCTTTACGTTTTGTAGGCTTCAGGATGTATTAAATAATTTGAAACAAAAGTTATCAAAGCAGGAAAAACAGTACAGGTGATTATATATTATTTTCTCTCATGTTGTTTCTATGACTCATTCATTCGTCTATTCTGCGTAGCTGCCGGCTCCCCAATCCCCCGGGCCGCTACGAAGGCTATCTGTTCTCCCGTTCCAGGGGCGAATCCAGGATTTTCCTCAGGGAGGGGTGCAGGGCTCTCAGGAAGGGGTGCACCACACAAAAATCATTTCCACAAAGATTCAAAATAATGAAAGTATTGAAGGATACAGATCTCAGGGGGGCAAAGCGCACCCCTTGCACCCACCAGTTGGATCCGCCCCTGCGTTCATGATCCGACTCTCCATGATTTAAATCTTTCCTCTCGTCATATTTTAATTAGGGAGGAGAACCAGGCTCTCACAGATGACTACAAGCGCATCACAGAGCAGTTCAGAGAGCTACAGAAGAAATACAGGTATTTCAAACCCCATTAGTTTTGAAGTGCGAAAAGCGAAAACGGCAAAGAAGCACAAATTACTATAGTTGCTTTTACACTGGACAGTTTTTAAGGAGATTGGTTCATAACGTCGTTGCCAAACTATGTTGCTGAATAGCGTGAGAGGGAGTTGTCACGCAAGTTTTTTCTGTTGCGCGTTAGGGTTCATGCTCATTGGCTCCTTTATTGAAAAGTCCTGGAATCGAAAACTCGTTTTCAAGAGCGCTTGAAAAGACCGCTTGTAGTTACCGAGTGTAAACCATAAGTCAAGATGAAGACCATGGCTCAGTGCACCAGTGAACAAAACAGTGCATTTAACAAATTGCGCACGGTTTTGAGTTGTATGTCCTTTTATTCACACACTCTTGACGTCATAAAATGTCCAAAACACAAGTGGACCCACGAGCGCAGCTATTCGATTCACTGCAAAGTTTTGGACATTTTATGACGTCAAGAGTGTGTCAATAGGAGGACAAACAACTATAAACCGTGTGCAATTTGTTTTTACCACATTTTTATTCCGAAAAATAAAGAAAATCATTCTTTTCTTTCAATTGAGCGCGCGCGCGAGACGTGATGTCGTAAGCATAGTGTGCATGTCCTCCTATTGTCCTTGAATTTACAAAAAAACGGTAAAAAAATTAAATTTCTTAACTGATTAATTGATGAGAATTGTTGTTGTTCTCAAAGGCATTTTCAGGCAACTGATCAAAAGAAATTCGAGGACATCTGGGTCATGAACGAAGAACAGGTYAGAGATCTGGTGAAGAAGGTCTGTGATGCCGACAGAATCATCTGTGAACAGCAGTTAGGATTACCATGGGAACCACATGATCTGTAAGTAKATTAGACGTGTGGAGGGGTTACTCAGACTCGAACCCAGTCTCCTTTCTTCTTTAAAGCGGCGCGCGGTGCATCAACACACTAGTCTCGTTGGGCAACGGAAACACAAGAACAGCAGTACAGGAACAAAATATGTCATTTCAATTACCAAAAGGGAAAATATTCATTCATTTATAAATAATTTTCGGCCTTTCTATTATGATACAAGCAACTTTTGAAAATAGCCTCGCATCTTTTGAAAATCGCTTACTGACATAAGCATATCGCCCGAGAAGGAAAAACTGAAATTTCTGAATGCGGTTTTGATAATGTCGCATACGATTTTCTTAATATTGAAGAAGATTTAGTAATGTTGAATACGATTTTGAAATCGAAGGCGTTCGAAGTTATCCAAGGCGATTTTTTTTTTTAAAGTGAATCGACGTCTTGTTCATGTTGCATTCGATTTTCCGATTATCGAATGGTCTTTGATAGTAGCGCATGCGATTATATGATAGTAAAAGCGCTTTGATAATATTTCATGCGATTCTTTATATTGAAGAAGGTTGTTTTAAAATTTGTAAATTAGCCTGTTAATCGTTTTTCACACCCCCCCCCCCCCCGATTTTTTTTGGGGTGAGAAACGGATGTACACAGGCTATGTGTAAATAAATGCATTCAGTATTATCATCAATTTATTATTTGTTTATTGAAAACAGTGAGGTGTTTGATAAACTGCCTGGTCTGAATAAAGGATTGGTAGAGCAAGAGCGAGAGCAACAACCATCCGCGACACAGGTCGCACATGACATCATGACAGGAGGTAGGTTGCGTGACGCGTGACTGTCCGCGTGACTGCCATTCTTGATTCTCTTCTCTGTCTACAAAAGACAGTTTGTCGTGTTTGCCTTGATTCAGCCGCCATTATGCACGCCTGCGGTTGCTAGCCGTCTCTGCCATGGTCTCTTTCCTTTTAAAAAAGTAACGGGCTCCCTGTGTTATATCAAAACAAACGAGTAGGAGTCTCCTCTCTCGTATTTTTTCCACAGGGAACCCGAAAATGTAAAAAAAAAAACTGGAAAAGCGAGATGCTTGAGGTCTAGAATATTTTGATTTGATATCATAGTGGTAAAATCCATGTTTTTTTTTTCTAGTTATTACCGATGAAGACACTGTCAGACAGGACCAGAGTGTGGTCAGCGGTAGTATCAAGGACAGCGAAAGTCGCTCACAACCTAAACTACCTGCCAGAGTTATCAAGTCTATACTAGAGCTCGTTTGTGATGAATCGGTGCGTGGACATTTCTAGATTTTTAAAATAACCCCCCTCTCACAACTCCTCCTTCCGGATACAATGGAAAMAACTCGTGCACTTTAAAGATTGTAAATCATTTACATCAAATTTACATCATTTTGGACACTTACATCATATTTACATCAAAATTACAACCTTAAAAGTGCGCGATTTTTTCCAGTGTTCGTATTGCTTTACAAAGGTGGCAGACCCTAGGTAGGACACATGACAAGTGATGGAGAGTACGGCAGGCAAAACAAAGGGTGTTCTACCCCAAGTGCTTTATACGACTGCGTGCCTCTGTCCAACACAGCGGTACAGAGATATAAAAATTAAACTTTTAGTGATTTGAGAGAACATTGAAAAGCAATCTTAACTTTGTGTAAGTGCGCGCTCGCTCCATATTTCACTGTGTTCATGTCAGAGGATGGAGACAGAAAAGCTTTACTTACTTGAGGTATTTTTTATTTTGTAGGGATTTCTTGTAGAATCTAAGTTGAACAAGCTTCTTGCTCCTCTTGACAAAGACGAACAGTCGCTGATGAAACTGGACGCCATTTTTGCGGTAAATAAGCGAAGAATGCAGATACATCAATGTTCATGGATTGAAGACTATTTTCAAAACTTTCACTTTGTTCTTACACTAATTTATTTCCTCTGAAACAATCCCGAAAATATGTCCGTTTTATGTGTTCAAAGACCGCACCCATCATGATGCTATTAAAATTCTAGAAATTGCCTCCCCACATGGTCCCTGTAACACTTGTCCTTGACGGACTGCCATCATATCAGTTTACAAAATAATTCATAGAAACATGTGGGATAGGATTGGAGATCGATCAGAGCATGCGTAATAGAACCAGTGGCCATGAATCACTAATTAGTCATTTGATCAACAGGCCCTTGGCATCGACACGGAAGACGATATCTACGTTCTTGCGCAGTACTTCGTTAAAAATGACCCCGAAAATCCCGAAGAGGCAGACCAGCCAGTTAACGACAAGGAAAAAGATGACGTAAAGATTGCTGATGAGGACAAACCGGAAAAACAGGACAAACAGGAAGTGGAAGGGGAGGACGTTATGTCCGAGAAGTCGTCTGTTAGTACGAGAAAGCAGGAGACTGCCAAGCTGATTCACCCTAATGATGTCGTTGCTGCCTTGAGGACCTTTGTTGAGGATAACCGACAGACGCAAAAGTAAGATTTTTACTACAATTCAGAGAATAGGAAATGTACAGCGACGCCATTTTGTGCAGCAAAGCATGATGGTATTTGTAGTTCTCACATTTTTCACAGACCCTAAGCCAATTTTTAAACTAAAATATGGCAAAAACAAATTGCACACGGTTTAGAAGAGCTGTATGTCCTCCTACTAACAAACTCTTGACATCATAAAACGCCCAACACTTTGTAGTGAAACTACTTGACTTTTGAGCATTTTATCATTTCATGACGTCAAGAGTGTGTCAATAAGAGGGCATTTCCAACTCAATGATTTGTTGAATGGAAAGAAAGTAAAATGAATAAATGGAGGGGTAAATGAATCCCGTATTTCGCTATGACGTCATTTAAATTCACTGAAAACAATGGAGAGTTGAATGGACTATATCTTGTAACTTCGCCTTAAAATTATCGAGTTTTCATGAATAAATAAATGAATAAATTATGTAATACCATTTCATTAATATGTGGATATAAGAATGGTTGGGTGATTGAATTGATGTATGTGAAACCCATCTAAACCTTGATTTTCCTTTTTAGGGATACCAAGCGACATACTGTGAAGGTCGAAGCGGGCTCTACAAAACAAATCGGGTAATGAGATAATGAGCATCGCTTTAATATGATTTACCCTGATTTGAATTAAAAATGATAAGAACATTTTGCGCATTTAAAAGTTTTCAGCGCTGTATTGACCGTTTCCGAATTCTCTATACCAAAATCTTTTTCATCGSCATTTCATTCGCCTTCGTAGTCATTAATGCTTTGCTAWCTCGACAGYGTRCACCCRGAGTTCTGGGAACAGACCGSATCAGTGATAGACGAGAAAAAAGAACGACTATGGAACGGGCTACTTCTTGGTTTTGAGAAATATCTGAATGTCTTGACAGAAAGAGCAGGATTAATACAAGAAACGGACGCACTTCGGCAACAGGTGGGTGGCTTTGAGTGCTTATGCACGGGTGATCAGGGCAAGCTTTGATATGCACACTTAGCGGCAAAAGATAGTTGTACAAAGCGACCTAACTAAATTTTAAATAAAAACAAGTCCGTACATGAAAAAGTAGCCCAACATATTGCAGGAACTTTCAAAGGAGCACGGAAATATTTCGTTATCATGCATGCGCCAGCGATATTTTTGACGGTCATCCGCGCATCTCGGAAACCCAAACCTGTTCGCTCTAATTTTAACTTGCTGTTGTTTTTTCGCTTATAGAATGCTGAGTTACGAATGCTGCTTCACCAATACGTTAATTCAAGGGTATGTTGTAAAATCATTTTTACGTTATTGAGAATAGCTGATATTCACTCTTTCTGAAAGCGCACGACAGCGACTTGTGATGAAGTGTTGTTTCAAGCTGACCGGCGCGCGCGCGGCAAAAAATTACAAAAGCGCGGGAAAAAGGAAAATAAATTAGAAAAGTTCAAATGTCAGGGGAAAATGTTGACTTCGTTTTCCACAGCCAGCCCACTCCATACTTGCTTGATTTTATGCAATTGCTGTCTATATTTGTTTTATTTAGTAATTCTTCAATATATTGAAGAATAAATAAAAAGATTAAGTTCATCTTTCATTTGGTCAAATGAAATCAAGATGAAATTAATATCAAAGTCTTGCAAGGCCAAAATACTCAATATATCAAAGAATAAATAAAAAGACTCCAAAGAGAAAGAAAAAAAAACTCAAGCTCGCACATTATTGTTTGATTCTTAGCGCATGGTTTGCATTTGTGGATTACCTGTGGTGCACGTCATAACAATCTTTTTCTTACAAATTGTAGGTCAACCAAGAGCTAGAAATTCCACCAACTAAAATATTACAAGCAGAACTGTCCAAGGAAGCCTCGTGATTTTGGTTTTATTATTCAGGAATTCTTAGAATCCACTGCGGATATTTTCTATGTACATAATCTGTTTTATAAAATTATTAAAACTATTCACTGAACAGAAGGAACTTAAAAACTTTTTATGGAAAAGATGCTTTCCTGTTGATTAACAAATTTCCACATCTTGTCCTTGAAAATACTCTCTCCATTCCCTCACTGCCTCCAATTCCTGAGAGGTCCTGATACTGTGTACCTATCCCCATTCCCTCTCTGTCCATATTCTCCCAGAGGGCCTGATTTTACTAACTTCCTCTCAGCATTCCCCCCTGTGCCAATATATCGACAACCATAGATTATAATTATATTATCAATGCCATTTTATTTTGTATTTGCTATTGGCAATTAATAATTTGTTACAAATAATTTACAGATTATTATTTCCTATGTGACCATGAAAAGTTGACATTTTACTGTCCAAAATACATCTAGCTATTATCCATTTATCATGCATTTATGAGTGCAGTGCCTTCTTTTCTATATATTATGAATCTAATGGACAGGGAAATATTTTTCTTATCAAGAAATGGAACTTTTTACTAGCCTAAAACCATTAATGGTGTGCCATTCACAGTCCTTCAGGTAATAGATGCCTGCTAGAGCTGTTAGTTACACATAACATCTGAAAGGCTATATGTTGGCATATAAATACTATTGTATCTCAATAAAAACAAAGGAAAACAACAACAAAAATATGATACTGCCAACTAGCAGTCTACTACGCATTTCGCAGGTTTAGTGGTTAACTTGTGACTAAATATTATGCAGGATTTTAACTGTGCTTAGTGCCAAGAATATAGTCATTAGTCAAATCCCTCTGAGAACACCTTGATGAATTAAATAAAAGACTCGACATCTGTGGACAAGATGCTCTTGGGTTTTGGAATTAGTGCTAATTGGAATKCTAGTTAGTGCTAGTTTTGGAATGTCTGTGACTTGACAGACAAGATATGATTGAACCRTGTGAATATTGGCTCTAACTAGACGTGTTTAGCTTATGAATTCAGTGGCTCAAAATCCTATGAACACATTACAGCAGARACCATTGCATTGTGACTTCAATGTTCAAGGGAAATTATTGGGATTTAGGTTTTWCTTTGGCWTTGGGCTGGAGCTTGATACWAATCAGCTAATGAMTGAAAGGTTTACAAAAAAGCTCCGTCCCTCAGATCAAAGGAAAGMATAAAAGCCAGACAAACTTTAAAATGRAGAAGTCTCGATGCAAAGATTTCYGATGCAAGTCACATTGTGTAAATCAGCCTATTTTCATAGTCTCCTTCATAATTCCCTGTATTTATTTGAAATTTAAGTAGGCATAGTGAGATAGTTGACATAGTATCTCACTTACCCATAAACAGGCTTACTAGTCATCTCACATACATGAAAATGCTAATAAGGTTAATAATACCTTGCTTTCGAGGTTAAAGGATCTGTGAAGAATACTATTCAATAGGCCTTTTTGCATGAAACAATCACATGATACAAAATCTGCCAAAATAAATGGCAAAAAAATGTAAGCAACCTCAAAAAACAAAAGGAACATAGCCCATCAAGCTTGTCGTTTCTTTGTTTTGAACAACCCAATCGGTTGCCATTCAGTATGGTGGATTTAGTACCATGTGACCGTTTCATGCAAAAAAGCCTATTCTATCCAATCTGAGCTAGAATATGCAGAGAAAAAAGAATACTAGTTTGACTGGTTGTCCCAAGCAAGAATAATTTCTGCATTTCAGATTGGATAAAATCTGGGTTTTTTTTAATGTGTATATTTTACTGTCTGGATTGTTATCCACTTCATTTAAACATGCATTGCTGAAAGGTTTTGAAGAAAGAGGTGCATTTTATATTATAAGGCAATGATAACACCAACAATAACATTGCTGTCTGCACTGAATTCTTCCTAAAAAACAGACAGGGGTTGTCATTTATAAATATGATATCCTGCTGTTATTGCCATTGTTTTTGTCAATTATATCTATTATTCATTAATTATTGATATCTTTAGTGTTATTAAATTTATTTTCTTTGTAGAAAGAAGACATTATAAAGCCTGTGAAACAAAATTTGACTATTAAAGAGCGATAGTCAAATAGACGCAAAAGAAAACAATGCCATTTATAGTGCAGTGCTAAGGCGTGTGAGTGTAAAATCTAGTATTTCACTTGCTTTTGACTTCACTCTATCATAATGTAGTTAGAACTTAGAATGTTTTAAAACTTTTCATAACACTTCCCCTTACTAACTTATTATTGATCTAACTTTTATTAGCTAAGTTTGTTCATCTAAGTTTTCAATAACAACATCTACAACAGCATGAGAAACAACCACAATTGACTCATAGAGAATATCATCTCCTACTGAAGAGCTTGTCCATGGATTTTTATCTATTTGATAACATCCTTTGTTGTCTCATAAACATGTCCTGTTGTGCACTCCATGGCATAGTAGATGCGTACTTAATACTACTATGTTATGACGATTGTTTATTGCAGTCTTGTCCTTATAATATATTATTACCACTATCTGACCAAGGAGAAGCTTGAATTAGCATTATACGACACAACGCTGATCGTGTTATCTTTTGGTAAATAYTGTCCTTGGTTTTCTGTTCCAAACAAACTGTGATAAAAGCCATCTTCATCAAACTGAAAGTAAACAGATCCACATTTAAAGGCATGAACTGTGAATGACTTAATGGATTTTGAAAATTTATTCAAAATCCATTAAAAAGAAAAGAAAAGGGAAAAGGGAAAAGGGAAAAGGGAAAGAAGAGGGATGGATTGAGAAGAAGAATGAATAATCCAATAAACAGATGGATTCATCTTTTAAAATGATCAATAAATGAATGATAGAATAATGAGATGTGGGAATGAATGGTTTGAATAAATGAATGTTTCCTAATGAATGGAAGAATGAATAAATGAAATATAATGACAAAGAATAAAAGGATAAAATATTTAAATGAAAGAATATGGATATTTATTGAAATAAATCAACCAGACAGTAAATAATTGGATAAATAAATATGCACAAGTGAACAAGTCAGGAAATGGTGGGCAAGCTGTTCAAATATGAAGTGGCAGATCCTTAATATTGAGTATTGGCAAACACTTCAMCTCATTGGACCACCACCAGCCAGACTTAACYGAGAACTCCTTGAATACGAAGTGAAGTCATGAGTATAGTTCTAGTTAATTGTCGATGGAGAATAATCTTGGTCTATGTTTTTATCATAAAGTTATAGTATTCCATGTTATTATAGTTATTCAAAATTTCAAAGTTGATTTGCTTTTTAATTTAGTATATGGTCTTGTCTTGCTATTTGTTGTTTACCTGTGCTGTAGGTTATTTCAACATGTGTTTCCATTAATTCATTAGGAATAAAGTTAAGTAATGAAGTTCAATGAAAAGAAACGTTTCTTTTCTCCCTTATGTTTGTTGGGGATATATACATGTATACATGTGTACAACAAGAAACGAAAAAGATCCAAATAGATGAATGTAAATTTGTGGCCCATAACTATTCAAGGAATTTCAAGAATATTTTTTCTTTATTGCATAATTTGCATTTTAACTCTTTTCCTGACTTTTTATACAGTTAATTTTTTCGAATCATTTTTATTCATTACGAATTCAAAACCATYCATTTTGCTGTGTKTTAAAGGTTARGACGATTTCTGAAGTTTTCCATGTTTTGTTGTGGTGCTGTGATCAAAGTAAAAGTAAAATCCAAAACAAATATTTCATAAAAAAGGGATCGATTTTAAGATTATTGCAAGTTTTTGAGCAGAGAATATCTTTAAAAGCAGGTGAATGGTTTCGTGTTATTCAAAACGAGATTAACGTTGTTTTGAAAACATTTTAACGMGTTAAATCTATCTCCACAACAACTTAATCCAAAATACGTGGAAGTAACACTCGAACAACATTCCCTTGACGCTTTCGAAATACCTACATGGATTTACCCAAAATCACAAATCTTACTCTTGTAACATAAAAATAACATAGAACTATATAAAAAGTTATCATTTTAACTAGAAATACGTATTTTACTCACTTGCATTCGCCAGAAAGTCAATGATGAATGTAGAAATATTAATCCCAAAGCGAAACTCGATACGAAGAGTACGAAGAAATGAAGCAAAACCAGACGATCTATGTGTCTAAAACGGAAAGAAACACAGCTGATTGTTAGACAGAGAATCCAATATTGTTTCCAAGTGCTTTTTTACTCACTTAGACTTTTCTACTGTTGATTCTGAGTAGCTGTTTGATGGTGGTTCGTTTTTCTTTTCTCCTCCTTCCGCCATTTTGATATTACGTCTAGTTAGTTAGTTTACTAAATTCGGTACCATGACTTAGTGGGATCTGATTGGTTGGAAGACAAAAGATTGGTAAGTAGCCAATCAACGCTCTCAAAAAGACAAAAGCAAAACTTGATCAGAAAACTTGAAATGAAAAAATAACACGAAATAAAAGGAAAAACTAGAAAATGCAAAATTTAGAGAAAGACGAAAACGCGAARGAATGTAACACATAGCGTAAAAAAGAATCTATGCAAAAGCAATGTTATCTTTACCACTTATGATCATATAAGATTGGTACTCAAATTTGGACAAAAATACGCCATTTTTCAATGTTTTTGAATAAAAATATGCAGATAATTTATCAAACTATACAACATTAGAACATAAAAAATATTTTCAGATTTATTAATAAATGATTTGTTAATTCGTTTATTTATTTTTTAATAAAAATAGCATATTTGATTTTGGGTATAAAACAGCTTTTTCAAAAGTAAGAATAAGTTGATAATGATTTGATTATCATCCTGCCTCTTTTTGTTATTTTGTTATTTTGTTTTTTTGTTCCTCCTAGTGATAAAAACGTAAGCTGCCCACGGGCTTCCTGTGGWATAGAAGCTCTAGTGCCAAGACCTCACTCGGTCTGTTGCTATGACAAGGCGAAGGCGTACTTAGCAACAGTGATTTCTGAATGAGAACAAAATAGTTTTAGACAGAACAGCAAACAAATCMAACAARTCATGGAAGAACAAGAGAGAAACACAGAAGAAAAGCCCCAAAATACAGGTACGTTAACTGTTGACTTGCTCAAAACCGTACTTGTCCACAGCGCACCAAACGAGGGAAAACTCATGCTCTTTTTTACAGCTTCCTCCAGTAGAATCGACGAATTATCAAGGCCTAAACCAATTCCAACTGGATTCTTAGACGACCGGTGAGATTAAACTTAAACCTTCTTATAAATCACTATTTATAACATTTAGAAGCAATTCTCTTTCTAAATATGTACGTCCTTTGCTCGATAATCGAGAAGATTGCTTTGAACAACAGCTTGAAAATCGAATGTTTTTGCACGTGAACTCAGCTAAAAACAATGCCTTATAAGCAAAACATGGCAAAATAGGGTCAAAATTGCATGAGCAAAGGCTATTCTTTAGTTTAAAAACTAAAAGTGGGTTTTATAAGGTTTTGTATGGGGAATAAGCTCAGTTTTGATAACAGTCAAGAGCATCAAAATTATAAACTTTCAAACGCTGACCGTACAATGCAGTGTCAGGCATCGATGCAATATTCAAATTTCAAACATGTAGACTTGATTAAA